GCCCCACCCGTGCACCGCTCGCACCCAGGCGCCCTGTCTCTGTGCCTTCCTGACCCGCCTCCTAAGCATCACACATGCCACAAGGCCTCTGGGTTCCCCCCTCTAGCGGCCCTACCTCACGGGTGTTCCCGCACTGCAGCCCGCCTCGGAAACGTCATCTTCCCGGAGCGTTCGAGCGTCCTGCCCGCTCTGCCCGGGCTCGGCTCAGTGTCTGCAGCGCTTGGTACCAGGGGAAGGTACCTGTGCCGCTGCTGAGTCGGTGTTTGGAGCGAGTGGCCCCAGGCCTGTGGCCCCTCTGCCGGGGCTTTTTATGTGGCCTGTGAGCTCCACTTGGTGAATTGGGGATGGAAGTCAAATCCCGGGGGGGGCGCGCGCTCCGGGCTGCCTTAAGACATTACGTGCCCTGCAAAAGCAGGCGCTTAGCCCAGCCCCTGGCTTCCACCGGCTGGGGGCCCGCTGCGCCGGCTGCCGGACCCCTTTCCTGGGCTGTGTGTGCAGAGCAGGGCGCACGATGCACCGGCTCCATTTCCCCATCTCTGCGCGGGACCCTGCTCCCGGTCGGCGTCCCTGGCGCGCTCTGGGCTGTGCCGTGCTGGGGAGCTGGCGAGCCCGGAGCGAGCGCGCTCCCCATCACGCCCTGGGGAGAGCGGGGCCGGCCTGACTCTCGGCGCCTGTCGGGGCTCGGCTGCGGGTGCGAATTGTGGCCCCACCGTACGGGATTGTTACACCGCGGGCCCAGGCGCGTCAGCGGGAGCGCACGGCACCCAGGCGAGGGGCTGCGCCGCGCTTGGCTTTTCTCCTCTGCTGCGGGGCTGAGGGGCAGCCAGACTGACTCCGTCCCCCTCCCGCAGATCAGAGACCTGAGGACAGACGCTTGGACCACAAGAGCAAGTGGCCTGCAAGAAAGCGCCAGTGAGGTCCTGCTCAGGAGAGGCAGCGAAGCTGTGTCCGTGTTCTCCTCGGTACTTTGCTCCCGGTTCTCTCCACAACCCCAACTAGGCTGCGCCCCACTGTCTGCCTGCAGCGATTGATGTTCGTGTGTAGCCGCTCCGGGCTCGCTGTTGCCCATGTTGTAGTCGTGCGTTTCCCTTCGTTTCCTGGTGCTGTCGAGTGGTGCGAGACGGGGAGGAGGTGCTCCCCTGCCCCTTCGCTTGGCTCCCACGTGGGGGCGGGCGTAACTAAAACCGTCCCTGCTGATTGGCTCTCTTTCACGTGAGGGTGGAGCCTGGGGCAGCCCGGACGCCGCACTCGGGTGTTAGCTGCCCAGAAGCCGAGGGATTTAAATTGTTGGTCGCCATTCCGCCTCTTCGGCCCCCAAACTCCAGCTGCTGGAATCCGCCCCCAGAGGGTCCCATTGAGTTTTATTCGCTAGGTGGGGGGCTGGAAATTGTTAGAGCCGCGATGGGTCCAGACCCATCCCCCGCTCCAGTGCGTGTTTGACGGCGGGGGGGAGGGGGATTCCGAATCTGAACTCACTCCCTGATCCACATTTCTTACCGGCCCCAGCCTCCCTTGTGGGCTTTGGCGAGTTTGAGATCTGCCGCCCGGCTCCCAGCCCAGGGTGAGCTGAGCGGGGGACAGGTCTCGGGAGAACCCACTGCCCGTGACACCTGTTACCCACCCAGCGCCTGTTCCCAGGTGCGACAGCCAGCCCCTGTGTGCGTGTGCATGACCACTGCTGCACACTCAAAGCATTGCAAGCAGCTGGTTCCTGTGGTAGTTTGTGTTGGGTTTGCACAGGGCTCCAGGGACCACTCCCCTTGTGTTTCGGTTCCACTGACTGTAGCTGCCATACAACACAGGGCGGCTGGAAGAGCGCCTGGGAGACGATTGCAGCTGTAACCTCCTGTCCCCACGGGCCCTGGCTGCGGAGGAGACAGCAGACAAGTCAGTTGCGTTTATTTCCCAGACTGCTCCTTCGCGCTGGTCCAAACCCAGGAGAGCTCTGTGCAGCGTGTGGCTTGTCCCTGCAGCACCCTCCTCTCTGGGCTTCTGGCTAAACTCTCCCCCAAGAATGATTGTTAAAGGTGCTGAAACGCTGCCTTGGACGAGTCAGTCTGGAGCCCCTGTGCAGCAAGCACCCTGCTCCCTCCTCCCGTTGGCGGGACTGCGGGATGGGAGGGGGTTCCACTGGCTGAGGGCTAAGCTGGTCCTGTTTCAGCAAGTCTCTGCTAATGAGCCAGTTCTGCCTATCTGAGGCAGCAGAGAGATCCGGGGAAACTGCAGCAGTTTGCCACGAGTGCCGCTCTTGGCTGATTCCTGTGCCGTTCCCTGCCGGGTGGCGCTGCCGGTCAAGACCTTGGCAGGAACGTCCTGTGCAAGTGCAGAGCAGTGACGCTGTCGCGCCCACTTGCTGTACGACCCTCTGTGCTGGCCCAGGGCATGGAGGGAATTTCACCCCAAAACTTCCCCAAGTCTGGTCACTCACCCAAAGCGCTGAGCCCCAGGATGATGGCCCAGCCCTGGCGGCTTACACGTTACAAGGGGCAAGCTCGTGCGGTCGGGTTACCTCCTCAGCTTCCCAGCACCTGCCAGGCAGAGGCAAACCCCAAAGAGAGAGGAAAGGGGGGAGAGAAATGAAGTGGCCGAGGGGGGTGCGGGTGGAGGGGGGTGGTGTGAGTTCCAGAGCATCCGTCTCGGTCCCAATCCACTCCAGGGAGACTTCGGAAGAGAAGGGTCCAGCCCGGGTCACTCCCAGGAGAGTGGATGAGCAGAGGGAGGTTGCCTTGGGTTCCAGGACACAGGGGCAGCGGCGTCTGAGCGGGGAAGCACCTCCTGTCCCAGAGTGAATGTGTTGTGCACCTCCCGCTCTTCTCTTTGTCCGAGCTGTAGCAGGCAGTAAAATGTCCCTTTTCCTTGGTGGCGTTCCACGATCCCCAGGGCAAACAAGCAGCCCGTCCCGGCCTGTCCCTGAGCGTTAGCTGTACACGCCCCACCAGTCTCCATGTTCAGTGTCTGTACTGTGCCGTCGGTAGAAAATAATAAATGTAGAAAATGGCAAAATCTTGAATGTTGTAAAATCCAACCGCCTGTTGTGTTTTCATTTTAATGGGCAAACCTTGCTGCTGCCATAAAGGACTGTTGTTGTCTGTGTTGTATCCAGAATCTAAGGGGGGAGGAATAAAATATCGTTTCTACCGTAGTGATTCTCTGGCTGGTCTGTCCCATACTGCCGGGATGTCTGGGGGCAGGACCGAACCCTCCGCCGAGTGGTTAGCAGACCCAGCGGGTAGGGGGCTTGGGGCAGGGACTTTTTGTTCTGTGTTTGTACGGTGCCTAGCACAGTGGGTCCCTGTCCATTACTGGGGCGCTGAGGTGTCCTCTGTACAAATAATAACTCCTCTTACTCTTAACAGCAATTCACACTCGTAGCTTCATGCTCCCAGGATGCAGTGCAGTCTTCCCTGACCAAGAAGCATGGTGCATCATGGGAGATGTAGTCTGGCCAGAACTGGGGTATCACACACTTGAAACACAACTCGCACGAGCCAGTGGCCGCCACAGGGAAATGCCTGGGAATGTGGGGCTGGTTGGGAGTGTAGAGTGTGCAAGCGGTTCCACAAGCCAAAGGTTGAAATTCCAGAGCGCTGAAGGGTTTTGCTCAGAGGTGCTGAATCGTTTAATCTCAGAACCTTTCTGAGCTCCCATCACTCAAAGTATCCTCCTCCCTTCGCACTGAACTACACACACACGACCATGCCTGGAGCCAGCCGACTCTGGGAGGCAGACCCTGTTCTACTGGGGTAAACTGAGGCACAGACAAGCCAGCGTCTGAATCTGAGGTAGAGAGAGGGACAGGACCGTGGGTTGCCCCCACTGCGTTCCAGCGCCAGAGGCATGGAGGAGTTTCCCCCGTCTGGCCCGTTTTCCTTATGGTGCCACTCTTCATCTACCGCCTTGGGTTTCATGGCTCTTCCCTGAGCAAATTGGAGTGCGGGAGTCAGCCAGAGAGACACATCAGGCAGGATTTTCCGCAGTTTTGTTTTCACTTCAGCATTTCCGAGGCTTTCGTGCGTGGCTGCTCCAGCAGCCTTGCAACTACTTCGGGAAGCAGTGCTGGGGGCACTGCAGGGGCCTCTCCGACGTCTCTTTGGAAGCACATGGCAGCTGTTTCTGGAGCCAGAGCTCCGTACGGCAGAGCGTGCATGCCTACGGCCCGGCCCGAGCAAGCCTCGGCATGGCGCAGCCAGCGCACGCCGCTCGGGAGCAGGTGGAGCCCCGGTGGCGAGGTACCACGTTGGCGTTTGCGCTGGCTCTCCCGTCGCGTGCAAATCGGGCCTGCACCGCATGCTTGCTGGAACCAAAGCGTAACTGAAGCTAATTTAGTCCTGCAGCTGGGCTGTTGGGCTGGACGTGCGGCTTCATCTGCAGGGTGTGTCTGAGTCTGGCCGAGTTTCTCGTGCTCACGAGTGGGGTGAAAAGTGAGCTGCACTTGGCCTTGAGTGGAGAGGGCCACGCGGCCTGAGCTCTTCTAGGGCCACAGCACTAAACCGGGAGCCACGAGCCCTGGAAATAGCATCTGCCGCCTGAGCCGCCGCCGGGGAATTCTATGGCCCCGGCAGCAGGGCATCAATAGTCCGTGGACCAGGTGCAGTCTGTGGGCTGGATCAAATGGTCAGGCGGGTCGGATCTGGCCCATGGGCTGTATCTTGGCCTGGCCCATGGGCCGTATCTTGGCCCGGGTTACCAGCTTGATCCGCAGCACAGCCACCTCCTGGGAAGGATCGGGCCAGCGTGGAAGCAGTTTCTCCGCTCCGCATAGGCGATCGGGGGCAAACCGAAGCTCACTCGTCCGCCGTGGAACAAGGCTGGGGAGAGCTGGGTTTTCCCTTGGCTCGTGGGGAGCGTTCGAGCCAGTTCCAGGGTGAATGTGACTGGCGAGGGCCGACAAGCCGCACACTCACCCTGTAGCTCTCCAGTGCAGGGCGCAGGGCTGGTCACCAGCCAGGCAGGCCGTGCAGAAAGCCAGGGGCTGACCTTGGGGAATGCCAACGGTCGTGTTCTGCTCCAACAAGTGTTCCGCCTTTTAGCCGGCTCTGTGTATTCAGCTCCACTGTCCGAAATGGGCCCCCCCGCCTCAGGCACTGTGCCGCCTGCGAGTGGAGGAGGCCCGGGAGAGAGAAGTGACATGCGATGCCTGGTCGCTGGGCGAGGAAGGGCCCCAGGGCACGGCCAGGCTACTGATCAATCGGCATGACCCCTCGGCCGGATGGAAGCACTGGAGGAAAAGCCCCTGCAGCCACGTCAGCTCCACTGTCCGAAATGGGCCCCCCCGCCTCAGGCACTGTGCCGCCTGCGAGTGGAGGAGGCCCGGGAGAGAGAAGTGACATGCGATGCCTGGTCGCTGGGCGAGGAAGGGCCCCAGGGCACGGCCAGGCTACTGATCAATCGGCATGACCCCTCGGCCGGATGGAAGCACTGGAGGAAAAGCCCCTGCAGCCACGTACCAGCCACGCGCCTGCCCGAGCGACATTCTGCAGCTGGCTCATACCCTAGCGGATTGTCTTTGGTGCAGCCTCCGGCAGCTGCTGGGGGAAGCTCGGTGAGACTTCAGCTTCCTTTCCTTAGGCTGCACGTTCGTCAGTACAACGTTTGTCGGGCAGGGGGTGTGAAAACCCCCCTCGTTGGGAGAGGCCTGCTGGGCGGGCAGGGAGCGGCCACCCGCCTCCCTCGCGCAGCAGCCCAGCTCTGTGCCGCTGTTCAGTGGGCAGTGCAGACGCAGCCCTTGTTACGGGGACGCGGCACTTTCGGAGATGAGCGCGAGCCTGTGCGTGCGAGAGGCTTAGAAACCAGGCCCAGCCCCCGGCCTCCCTGAGCACCTGTAGAACCTCCCAGCCGGCTGCCCCCGTGGACACAAGTGCAAGCTGGGAGTGGCCAGTGGCCACCCATGGCCCTAGCGCTCAGGGGCTCTGTGCTAGTGTCAGCCAGGGAGTCTGTCCCTCCCCTGGACGCTTGCAGCCAAAGACACTGGGAAGCGGCGCCAGTGCCCATGTGCTGCCGCCCTGTGTGTGTGCGCAGCTGGGGACACCCACGGGACAGCCGGTGGTAGCGCTGACAGCTCTCCCGTCGGCTGACAGGTCAGTTCCGGGCCGGGCGGAGGGAACCTGTCCCCGCGGCGGCAGGCAGGCGCTCGGGTCAGTGCGACTCAGTGGCCCAGCCCCTTGTCAAACGAAAGCTCATCTTACACTGATTCTGTATATGCTCTTCTGCCTGCCTAGTGTCTGGGTGTGATGTTATAAACATGGACTCTGTGTCAATACTGGAAGTTTCTCTGTGTGGGACTGAGCAATAGACGAAGAATGCTCAGCCAATGGACATGCTAATGAACAAGTCTCCATGGAACAATAGCCCTCTGTAGGCCAAGGACACACTTCAAGAATGGGGACCGAAACCTAGGGGCTACCAGCAGGGGACACAGGGATAGGCCACTGGCCAGGTGACCTGCTGCAGCCAAGAAGAGACCAGGAAGGAGGGATATAGGGGCCATGTGGCATCCACCATTTTGTGCTCAGCTCAGCTCTTCATCCCAGAGGCAAGAGTGCAGGGATCAACGAGCCGGAAAGAACTGAGGACCCATCCTGACATAGGACGTGCACCAAAGACTTTAGCCAGCAGTTATAATGTCTCTGCTACAAGCCTGAATCGAGAACTGGGAGATTCGATGCATGTAATGTATGATACTTTAACAACCGCACTCTCAGGCTTTTCTTTCTTGTTGTAATAAACCTTTAGATTGTAGATTCTAAAGGATTGGCCCAGCGTGATTTGTGGTAAGGTCCAGAGGGTAAATTGACCAGGGATCTGTGGCTGGTTTCTTGGAACCGGACAGAACTTGTTCGGGGTAGGTGGGATTGGGTGTCAGGAAACAGCCTGTAACCTGCTGCGGAGGGGCTGTGCATCAGCCAGCCAGCCAAAGGGTGCTGTCCAGCCAGCCCCCTTACACCTTTGCCTCTTGCCTCATGCCTCAGAGACTGGGCCTGACGGAGAGTCTATAACAGACACGCGCCGTTTCCTTGCGGCCACGCTGGCTGCCATCAGTGCTGATTGGATTCGCAGCGCTGGCCTGTGCGGGCCTCTCTCCGGCTAGCCGGCTACGTCTCACACGGTGCCCAACCCGGCGGGGTCCCAGCCCATCCCCTGTGGGCTCTGGGAATCCGGCACGGAGAGCTGCCTGGGGCAGGTTCCACTGAGCTCGGGAACAGTAACCTGCCAGCACGCATGACTGCCTGGTCACTGATTGCCAGCACAGAACACACTGCCCATAGCCCCGGCCTCGGCCTCCCGGGCAGCACGAAGCAGTACGCCTGGCCAGAGCCAACGGCACGGCTTGGTGCAGGGTGCGGCCGTTGCGGAGACGTGTGCGCACTGCAGGAGCAGCCCGGGGGGGCGGCGCCCCGGGAGCGGAGGTGGGTCGTGGCTCTGGAGCGCTGGGAAGGGAACGGGGGCCGGGGGCGCGCAGGCTGGGAGCTGAGCGTGGGCGGGTGCCGCTTTGAAGCGCCGGGGCGCAGGAGACAAGCAGCTTGCCTGCGGCTGGGCTCTGCCCTTTGTCGCTGGTCTCTGCTGCTGCCTGATTGGACGGCCAGTTCGGCGAGGGGGCGTGTAACTTGCGTGTTCGAAACGCTGAGATTCTACCGTGTCCCCGCCGAAGGACTGGCATTGGGGCAGGCAGCTCCTTAGGCCCTGAGACTCTGCGCCTGCAGGTGGGCCACGTGCTGCTGGACTCTGGCTGGCTGGGACCCCCTCTCCCCGCCAGGCTGGTGGCGTAGGATTCCCCTTCTCCTCGTATGTTGCTAGCCAGCAGCCAGCCCAGAGACATGGTCAGGTGATCAGAGACAAGGGCTGGAGCTAGGAAATCCCCACACCTCTGCCACTGAGTCACTGGGTGCCCTCAGCCAAGTCTCTTCCCCAGGCCATGCCTCAGTTTCCCCAGTGCCATGGGGATAAGGACAGGGCCCAGCTGGCAGAGCTCATGGGGGCTGGGTGGTAAGGAAAAGCACCTGGAGAGTGGTGCCCCTACTGGTTATTAGCTCTCCCCTCTCCTGCTGGGGCTCCGAGCTGAGCTGACTGTCCGAGTCGGAGGCTGGCTCTGTGTCCGGTGCTACCCTGTGCTGTGCGAGCTGGCGCCAGCTGGTTGCAGGGGCTTGTTCTTTCCTTTGCCCCAGGGATGTTTCCAAAAGCTGAGTGTGGGCCGCGTGCCTCGCCTTGTGACCAGGCTAAACATTACCCACGGCCGTTAATGGTTAACGATGGTCGGGCCCGTTAGTCGCTTTCCCGCTGGCGCACACACCAGAGCGAGGCACTAGCTGGCCGCTCGCTGGGACGATGGCTGACGGTAAGGGGCCTGCTGCTCTGGGGGGGCCACGCGCTCTGGCTGGAGGCAGGCCCTGTTCTGCCAGGCTGCACCCAGCAGCCAGGGCACCGCTGCCTTTCCCGCCCCTCTCTGCCGCAGGCTTTCAGGCTGGGCTGGTAGCGTGGCAGGCAGGTAGCACAGGGCGCTTGTGCAGACAGACAGACGGGAAGACTCCGCCGGCAGGCAGGTAGCACTGGGCGCTTGTGCAGACAGACAGACGGGAAGACTCCGCCGGCAGGCAGGTAGCACTGGGCGCTTGTGCAGACAGACAGACGGGAAGACTCCGCCGGCAGGCAGGTAGCACTGGGCGCTTGTGCAGACAGACAGACGGGAAGACTCCGCCGGCAGGCAGGTAGCACTGGGCGCTTGTGCAGACAGACAGACGGGAAGACTCCGCCGGCAGGCAGGTAGCACTGGGCGCTTGTGCAGACAGACAGACGGGAAGACTCCGCCGGCAGGCAGGTAGCACTGGGCGCTTGTGCAGACAGACAGACGGGAAGACTCCGCCGGCAGGCAGGTAGCACTGGGCGCTTGTGCAGACAGACAGACGGGAAGACTCCGCCGGCAGGCAGGTAGCACTGGGCGCTTGTGCAGACAGACAGACGGGAAGACTCCGCCGGCAGGCAGGTAGCACTGGGCGCTTGTGCAGACAGACAGACGGGAAGACTCCGCCGGCAGGCAGGTAGCACTGGGCGCTTGTGCAGACAGACAGACGGGAAGACTCCGCCGGCAGGCAGGTAGCACTGGGCGCTTGTGCAGACAGACAGACGGGAAGACTCCGCCGGCAGGCAGGTAGCACTGGGCGCTTGTGCAGACAGACAGACGGGAAGACTCCGCCGGCAGGCAGGTAGCACTGGGCGCTTGTGCAGACAGACAGACGGGAAGACTCCGCCGGCAGGCAGGTAGCACTGGGCGCTTGTGCAGACAGACAGACGGGAAGACTCCGCCGGCAGGCAGGTAGCACTGGGCGCTTGTGCAGACAGACAGACGGGAAGACTCCGCCGGCAGGCAGGTAGCACTGGGCGCTTGTGCAGACAGACAGACGGGAAGACTCCGCCGGCAGGCAGGTAGCACTGGGCGCTTGTGCAGACAGACAGACGGGAAGACTCCGCCGGCAGGCAGGTAGCACTGGGCGCTTGTGCAGACAGACAGACGGGAAGACTCCGCCGGCAGGCAGGTAGCACTGGGCGCTTGTGCAGACAGACAGACGGGAAGACTCCGCCGGCAGGCAGGTAGCACTGGGCGCTTGTGCAGACAGACAGACGGGAAGGAGGCGCCAGGCACTCAGCCCCTCCACGAGCCAGGCTGCTCCCTGGGGGCAGTCACCCCTCTGGCCCCAGGCGGGAAGCTTTTGGCTGATGCTTTGAGGTGCCGTATCCTAGTGCCTGGCATGGTCTCATCCTCCCGCTGGGAAGAGAGATCCCCCGAGGGCTGAGGAGAGATCCCAATGGCCCTCCAAGATCTCTGCCCAGGGCAACGGAGCAACAGTCATAGGAAGGGTCAGTGGGTTTTAGTGGGGACGTCCCCTCCCGGCTGCTCTCCCCTGGGAGTCTGGCCAGCCCGCTCTGGAGCAGAGACCGAGGGGCCGGTGGTGCTGGGATATTACTGGGTGACCCGTGTGAGCGGAAGGCAGCTGTCCCGGCCTGCGGCTCTATGTTCCGCTGCGGGGAGACCAGCTCAGCTGTGCCCTGCCCTTTCACCCGTGCGTGTGGGATCGCCAGCTGTGCCGGCTTGCTGGCCAGTGCGGTGCGAGCCGGGGACACGGTGCCACACCATTGGGCAAAGTCTGATTGCAGGAGGGGGTGTCCTCAGCTCCCAGATACCCCGAGGCCATTCGCAGTGACTCTGCCCAGGGTTAAAACGGAGATGGGGGCCATTCGAGCGCTTTCCGGTTCATCCCCCTTTTCTCTCCTATTCCCCAACCCCTCCGCGCCCTGCTTGAAGCACACGGAGGCTGCGTCTACACTGGCATGATTTTCCGGAAATGCTTTTAACGGAAAAGTTTTCCATTAAAAGCATTTTTGGAACAGAGTCTAGATTGGCCCGGACGCTTTTCCACAAAAGCTCTCGCTGCCTGCCCCTGCCCCGGGCTCCTGGCTGGCTTTCCCTCCCTCCCCACGGTGCTGTGCCCAGGGCCCAGGGCGCTGAGCTGGGCAGATGCAGGGCAGGCACCCGCAGCCGGCTGGCTCCGAGCAGGTTGAGATCAGAGCCTGACTCACTGGCTTCAGGGCCTGGGAAGCGGAGCCCTCCCGAGGCTGGCCGTGAAATCCCAGCACGCGTATCCCAGTCTGGCCGGGCCCTGTGCCCGGTGCTGGGCCTTGCTGAGCGCCCGAGCCGCCCGCTCTTGGCTGCCCTCCAGGTATTTCTGTGGCACCTGCCGGCAAAGACTTTTCACGCG